AATATTAATACAGTTACTGTACGTTTTTCAAAACCTGTATATTTACTGTTCATTGACAAAATAAAATGTTTTTCAGTCATTTTTTCTGTATAAATTATAAAAATCACTAGTGAAAACTATTTATAGTGTAGTGTGAAAAACAATACTACACAGAGCATGTGCTGCAGCACATGGCTACAGCCACTCCCTATGTAAACAAAACACTGGTAAGCTCCGCCTACTTTGTCAATCACTGAGAAGAAATTCAAAATTTAGTGCAGCTTCAGAACTTTATTCCTAAATTACTCAAGATATAATTTTTGATCAACTATGAAAGATGGACACATTATTCACAATCAAGGTGGCTGCTTCCATGCCAAAAATAAGAATTTAATAAGATCATAAAAAGAATATTTTCTCAAAAATGCTTCTCAAATCTGAAAGCTGCATAGAAAGTTGAATTTCCTCAACATTTTTCGATTGGCTGCCTTTTATATCCGGGCCCCGGCCTTTAAGATCCAGAGATTCGTTGATGTTGATTGCATATATAGATTGAATATTGTACAACGAGTCTATAAAAGACAATTATCAAAAATGACATGAAAAATTAATTTGAATTTCAACGAATATTCGACTATCGTTCAAATAAAACTTCCGACTATTTGACTAAGCTGTCCGAATAAAATTGACATCCCTATTAGAAATGTATTGATTTTAGCAGTGTGGACAAAAAAAAAAAACTGAAACATTGCAACTTTGCATTATAATTATGAAATAAAAAACAAGTTTTATAAACTTCTATGGAAAATAAAGTGGATCGGTCACTTGATCAAATCCATTGAGGGCTGAAGGGCTTCTCAGAAGATTTGATCACTTACATGTACCGACCCACTTCAATTCCCATTGAATTTTATAAACTTGTTTATTATTACTTATATATACATTTGAGATGGACAATTAAACATTAAATTATTTAGTAAATATATTCGGATATGAATATTGCACTAACCGCTCGCCGTAGACTTCCGTTAGATGTATGCAAGGTGTAAATCGGCTTGAAAGGCGGTTACACTTTGAATTCATCAGGCTAAGAATTAAATTCCCTAAACTCACAGTTTGTTTTATAAGTTATAATTGACAACAGATTGTTAATCGATTACATCATCTTACAGAAAAGGTAATGACTGGTGTCATATTGTAATTTTTTAATAAACCGGGTGGTAGTAAATACAAAAATTACAATATGGTAGATCGTGTACATGTAACAGTTCGACAGGGGATATTGAGTCACTCATTGTAGTGTTGTAAAATCGGACAAATTTTACAATCGATTATCAAATTGAATCGGAAGAACACAATCGATTATATAATCGATAATTTAAACTGTTAAAAAGGGTATTCATTCTGAGAAGTATTTTAAATAGTCATAAATAAAAACAAGGTTAAACTTAATAAATCGATTCATTCATTTATAGAATACACATTTTCTGACTTGCATACATATACATGTACAATGTAATTTAGTCACATTTCATGCCGGTGATGTTTTTCGAGATGAAATTGGACATTCGTTGTATTTCTTAAACAAAACAGGGGCAATAAGAACTTGGGTTGTGTCTTCGAGGGCGAAGACCATTTAAGGAGGGAGGAATGTAATGGTTCGGGCTGTGGATATCGGCGTGGATAGCTCAATCGGTAGAGCACCTGACTAGTGATACAGGGGTCCCGGGTTCGATTCCCGGTCCAGCCATGCATTTTCTCCTATCCTGTTACAGATTTGGTGCCGTGCCATGCCCTGGAATTGACAGGTGAAAGACCTGCCAGGGATGAGCCTGGGTTAGGGTCTTTGGAGGGCCAAAGACCTTTAAGGAGGGAGGAATGTAATGGTTAGGGCCGAGGATATCGGCTTGGATAGCTCAGTTGGTAGAGCACCTGACTGGAGATGCAGGGGTCCCGAGTTCGATTCCCGGTCCAGCCATACATTTTCTCCTTTCCTGTTACAGACTAAACCTATGAATTTGAATGTTCATTAAAATTTTGACAGCACAAGTAGAATTCCATGACATGTGACCGCGAACTTCAACACACCTTTATTGGCATCCAACTTTTTACACAATTTACAAATAACCGTGTCCATCTGTAAATCCTGAGCCTTCAAACGACGATTTTTCGATAGTCGGCGACTATCGTAACAAAACCCAAGCCCCTGATTCCAACAATGTCATTTCTTAGGATTTGCATTTTATACCTTGCTCAAAGATTTGTACTGTATGGTTTTCAGTTAGAAAATTGTTTGTTATCTAAATAATTAATTCCGTTGAATTTCATCTAGTTATTGATCTGTAACGTCTTATTTTATTTAATGTAGCCATGGAATAAACAGTATTTTAAAATCAAGTTTAGATAGTTTTTTTTTTGTATTTTGAATTTGCCCTTGAAAAATCTTCTATTTCTACCGGCATCAGCAGGAAAATGAACGTTGTTATTTTCATTATATCATCAGTTTTTATCTGCTATCAAACTTTAAGTATTTTATGCCTCATGTTTTGGTTATCTTTATTAGTTTCATTTAACTTGCCAGTAATTATCGCTTATTCATATGCAAAAGATATCTTTTTTTCTCTTTGGAATTCTGAATTTCTCTTGTAATCCTTATGTACTTTTTTTGGCTTCAATTTTCTCAGCAAACGTAATCAAAGAAACACAAATTAATAGCTATATGTGTTACTGTGCTTAATTTGTCCTGTTTTTTTTTTTAAGAATTTGTCTGAGTTGAACAATATCCTATTGTCTTTCCTGACATTTTAAATTTTATCAAATAAAATCTGCAACATGACCATTTTGTTGCAGATTTTATATTTCTGATACGCAATAAAAAAGTTGTATTCGGTTCTCTACGCATCAGTTACCCTAGTAAATATAAAATTTGGGTTACATTGTTGCATGGTTGCTTGAATGAATAATTCAGAGTTCGGTTTAAAAAGAATTAAAAAGAAGATTGATTGATTCATTGTATATTGTTTAACGCCGATTCGGCAATTTTTCAGCCATATTTCGGCGGACTATCAGTTCATATAATCAGTTTTTGAAAGTTTTTGGTTTCTCTGGCGGCCCCAGGTGTGTTGAAGTTCGCGGTCACATGTCATGGAATTCTACTTGTGCTGTCAAAATTTTAATGCACAGCATCATTTATAAGGTCCTGTTAAGCCTTCTCTTACATGCATAACTTTAGTTCCTGTAGACAGCTGAAAAAACTACCTAAAAGCAAACATTTGAAGGTTATTAGGGGAGCCTCGATACTTCATTTGAGCAAAGAAGTTTATGTTTATTATAAAGATGTATTCATGATGATGAACAAAATCTGAGGGAAAAGACCTGAACACACTGCCAAAATGGATTAAGCGTTTCAATTAAGAATCGTATAATAAGATGGCAGAGGATAGGTTCGGATTAAATACCGGTAAAAAATAATAGATAAACCTAAGCTTTGAATGCAAATGCATATTGTAGGTAATTTTATAGCTAGAATATTTTATGGGTGCATTTGGAGAGAATTGGTTGCCTTGTATATTTTATTGAAGTATGAAACTTTACTATCATTATTCCTGTATATGGGATACGGACTAGAAATATGAAAAGAATAGCAAAAATCACTCTTCATGTATTTCACCGGAAAAGCGTGGTGGGTTCATAGGATGAATTGTAGCTTAAAAACGGGGTGGTTGAGCCATTATCTCTTGCTCTTCAGTGTTATGTGTAAATGTTGTTATGCAATTTGTGTGGTAGCTTAGGCCATAAGCACGGGCCTGGAAGCAGTTGCAGCTGCGGCGAAATAGTGAAAATAGGCTTGATTTACATGAAATTTGAAATTGTCCCTGTGCCATCATTAGGGCTCATTGTGTAAATTCTACATGTTTTATTCCAAAGAATTTTAAATTCCTTAAGGATATCATACTATTATTACTGGTAAAGAGAATTAAAAAATTATTCAATGCACATTTTAAAAGCAGCTCAATATTAAGTAAACCATCAGTCAAACGTTTTGATTGCAAAAAAATCAAAAAAATCTTCTGCCACCTAAAGTTGTAATGCCTAACATCCATCGTTCCGGTTTTGTTAAATCGGACGCGATAAAAGACTTAGAAAACAACATTAATATTTCGTTATGCGTCATGCAGACTAGTCTTGTAACAATATCGTTAATTTGTTTGAAAGGCTTATTATAATGATTTTTAATAAAAGTATGTTTTTCATTCTATGTCTGGAAATCAATCTTATACTTAGAATTCACTTTCTAGAGACAAAGTTATATTTAGAATTGACTACAGATGCTCTTAGCAAAGGGGCCATGACAGGTGTAACGGGTCAACAAGATATTCTTACTGCTCCTAAGTGTCCAACAATGGCATTTAAAAGGAGTTACATTTTATAACCTGCTCATTGATTTGTTATATAATATGTAGGTCGTTTTAGAATTGATTCTATTTTGTTTGATCTAAAATTTTAATTTTAATTTTTGTTGGATATCAGTATTTAATCTGCAACCTTTTTTTTAATTCAATTTTAACCACAGAGTAATGAGCAGTGAATCAAAAACAAGTTTAAATGCTCTTTTGCTTTTTGAATGTAGCCTGCGTCTCCTTTTTCAGCATTATTTTAGCTGCAACAAAAGTAGGAAAACAATAAATCATTTTGCCCCTCTGAATAGGAAGTCCTCTGACCTAAGCGGTAGTTCACTACACATAAATAGGTCTTATACACTGGTTTTGACATTCACTCAAAATACGCAGCAAGTAAGAATAAGGCACTTCACAATTTGATTTACTTGTTACCCATTAAATAAGAAGGTAAGTTGAATCAAGGTTATTTATAAAATTGTGCCAATTTTGTTAAAGTTGAGGTAGTGTTAAAAAAATTTTAATGTGTTTTCTTTAAAACTAATTATTAAGGAAAAAATCTGTCTTATTTAATATGTGAATAATAGTCGCTTTCATTGAAACAAACGACTTTTTTAACAGTTTACTTCAGATGGCATCTGATGAAAGAAGGCTTTTGGGAAACACATCCATTGCTGCCGAATGGAATTCATTGAAACTTTACGAAGATACGATACAGAATGATATCAGTTCATTTTGGCATTACGTGCCGGAAGAAGAAATTTCTGAGCAGAGCTGGAACAAAACACAGAACCAGTCTGATGTTTCATTCAAATTCTTTTTGTTTGGTTCCTGTAGTAGTAAACTCACATCAGAAATGTTTCATAAATCAATTGTGCTACTGGGATTGATTATTGGATTCCTGGGGCTCGTGGGAAATGTTGTCACCGTCTTCAAAATTTTGTACGATAAAAAGTTCCATACACCAACATTCGTCGTCATTGGATGCATTGCATTTTCAGATCTTCTCTTTATCGTCTTCACGTTTGTTTTAAAATTTTCCAACTTGCCTTACTATATTTTCTCCCAAAGTTATAACGGCTTTATTACTGTGCGGATTTTATATGGGACGATTTTCTATAGTTCAGTTACACACATTGTACTCCTTTCTGTAATTAGATATTTATTAATAGCCTATCCGTTACAGAGTAAAATACAACTTACGCCGGCAGTTATCGTAAGGTGTTCTTTAGTGGTTTGGGTTTTTAGTTCACTGTTTTCAGCATTGATATCAATACCATTGATGGTTGACTCTATTAAAACATTGAGTATGCTTCTAATAAGAATAACATATTCAGGGTTATGTATTTGTGCAATCCTGACTTTGCATATTTTGAAGATGAAAGCCCTTAGAAAATCTTCTATTCCTACCAGTGTCAGCAGAAAAATGAATGTAATAATTCTTATTATATTATTAGTTTTTATCTGCTATCAAATTGCATACATTGTATTCAAGTCTGCTTCAATCATGTTAAATATTGAAACAATTTCAATGAATTATTTTGTTTATATAACTGACGTCTTCTTTATCATTGGTAATCTTAACTACTCCTGTAATCCTTATATACTTTTCTTTGCCTCAATTTTATGCTCACGCAGAAAACGTAATCAAATGAAACGCACGTAAATACATGTAGTAATATTGATAGGGTTTTTTTAAGATTGCTGTAGATTGCATTTTGAGAGTATAACTGCTCTAGTGAATAAATCCTCGGGTTACATGTGCCATTTAGAAATAAAAAATATTGCAAGAGGGGTTGTTTTCCCTTAAATTCTACATAAATGTCTTGTGCTTATTTGAATGAGAAGATCTAGCATTGGTTTGGGCATATAGCTGCAATGAACAAGTAGTGCACTTCACGTTTAAGATACAATTGTCCAAATAGATTTTCTCTTTTTCAGTTTTGTCGTGTTTCGTAAAACAGTAGACATGCAAACTCTTCATTGTCATATCATGAGATTTGCTCGTTAATAAGAACTTTAAAAATAAAGCGGTAATACATTAAGCAGTTATATGTTGGCAATCTAATGAAATTTATTTTAACATCAATTTTTTTTTATTTTGAGAGCCTTAAAAAATTTAAGAATTTTCTACGTGTGATAGATTAGAATGGCCCACCTCTTATAAAATCTCTATTAGCATGTGAGTTACGTGTACAAGATATTTAATAAAAAACAATGTAAAATGGATAAACTATGTCATTTCCAACAATTGTTGTTTTTATTTCCGACATTATTGTTTTTGTTTATTTCTGGAATATTTGAAAAGTATCACTCTGGCAATTTTATATGTTTACCAAGTAGATTAAATTTAAGTTTTTCAAAAAAATTATTTCAAACCTTATTTTTGAAAAAAAATTAATAAAAACAAAAAAAAGCATTTTGTGTACATTGTTTTTGCATCTGTACATGTAGCATTAAGTCTAGTTATAGTTCAATGAGCGTTAAACTTTTTCATCACCACTTATGTCCCTGAGTTAAATGTTCATGACTGAACCGAATTAAAGACATTTGATGTATTAAAAATTATTCTTATTAATTCATAAAATCAATTTTTTTCTAAGTGATTTCTTCAGTCCTGCTTTCATTACCGAAAAGCGCAACCTGAAAAATGTCGGAGATGAAAACTTAAAATTATAGGGACTGAAACTAAACAGAATTTCGGAAATGAAAACATTACACAGAGCTTATATATGTTGTAAAAATAACCTCACTATTCAAACTTCTTGTATTGCCACTGATACAATGAAACTAATGAGCTAGCACCCTAGAAAAAAAGATGACGCAATGAATGTAAATAATTAGCTCTACTGGCATTTAATGGATGGAAGTTTCTATAAATACCATACAATCTTTAATTAATTTTTTACACATCTCATTATAAGTTCTCGTAGCCTCCATTTCAGTTTCAATCGTTGAATTTGATAAACAGTAACCAAATTCGTAATCTAGAAATATTACTTCTGTGACAGATTTGTTTTACTGTATTGTTATCATGCGTTTTATGGGGCTCTATTAAAATTTGAAATGTAAATATTCAGAAAACAATGTGCATTTCACATCACATGTTTATATTGCCATGATGTCATTTTGCTTATGTCAAAACGGATAAAATACATTTGTAAATGTTCTTCTTCCTTTAATGGTTAAAATTACATTTGTCAATATATTTTGGCACAAATTTGTACACATTTTGTTTAGAGAGACTTACCATTCAACAATTTAGCATTGTTCTCATTCATTGTAAAGCATTTCATAATAATTTTTTCCAAGTTTTAATCTTTCGTACTGTTTCATTTTTGGAAATTTCTACCATAAGACAATAATATACTTTCTACTATATTGTTCTTATATGTACTTCTAATCATAAAATTGGACTAATACAGATTCTCACGCTACAGTTTGTCAATCATTGTGTAACCAAGCGGGAATGGAAAACGCAGGTTCAGTTTAATAAATTTATTTGGAAATGAAAAAGCAATGGCAGATCTACAAATACAAAAACATATATACAATATCATAATACACATAGACACTGAGACAAAATACTTTTATTTCATATTCACTTTAAAAAATAAGAAAATTTAAGTTTACTAAGCCCAAAAACGTCAATTTCATAGTTTAAAATACCTTTCTCTCAAAAATATGAAAAACACTTGAGCTTATAACTTGGACTTAATAAATAAAATGCAAAAATTTAATAGACTAAGAAAATTACCTTTCAAGTGGTGACAACGGGCAGCTGGTAATATGTAAGTTAAATTTCCCGCACTGACAGGGATGGGCCCATGCCTCAGTATATATAGCAGAAAAACCGGTTAAACAAGGGGGTACAAATTTACTGGCCAATGAGATTTTGTGAGTAGAATTCATGAATGGAGACTACTATCAAATATGGCATATAGTAAATTATGGCTCACTAAGTTATTCAATAAAGATAAAAAAAATTATTTTAAATAAATATGACTCCGCCACATACTCCCCAGCTTTAAATTTAGCGTCTCGATAAATGAAAAATATATATTCTATCAAAATACATTTTTCAATAATAGCCACATACTCTCCAGAAAAATATACATATGAACATCAAAAGTAACAAAAAGTTTTTGCATAAGTAATAGCGTTATCTAGGAAACACATCTCGTCACATCACGGCGGTTTAAGGTTTTCTGGCAGCCATCGTCTGACACAACACTAACGACATTTCCTGAAATATTCACAACACGATACACAGTAGAGTCCCATGAATCTTGAATTTTGTTTCTGCCGCGGATTTGACGGTTTTGAACGTACACTTTGTCATCAGTATTCAATTCCGGGTCAAAGGCTTTTCTGTCGTTGGTCGACTTCCTGTTTTTGGCCATCAGAGACGTATGATCACTTGCTTTGTCGAACGCATACTTTAGTCGGTCCTGGTGAGATTTGATCCATTCGTCAGTCGTCATTTGATCATCATCGTCACTGTCCAAAGCTCCAAGTAGAAAATCGATGGGTATCTTGGGATGACGTCCAAACATAAGATAAAACGGGCTGTATCCGGTTGTTGAATTCTGTGTTGCGTTGTAGGAAAATAGTAATTCGGGCAGATGTTTTGGCCAATGTCGCTTTCGGTCAGGTGTAAGACTCTTCAATAAGTTGTGTAGGGTTCTATTAAATCTTTCGCACTGGGCGTTTCCTTCTGGATGGTAAGGTGTGGTTCGAGATCGTGTAATTCCATACATCCTACACAGTTGAGCAATGATATTTGCTTCAAAATTTCGGCCTTGATCCGAATGAATACGATCGGGAACACCATACTTGAAAAACCATTCGTTTAAAAGAACATTCGCAACGGTATCTGCTTTCTGGTCCTTTGTTGGAACAGCTTCCGTAAATTTTGTAAAGACATCAGTCATCACAAGAACGTTTTCTTTTCCATGCGCTGGTTCCAAAACAGTAAAATCGATTGCTAGAATTTGCAGAGGTATAGATGCGATGAGATGGCTCATTGTAGTGCGTATAGCTGGTTGAGGCATCTTGGAAATTACACAACGTTCACAACGCTTACAATAATCCTTCACAGAATTGAATATTCCAGGCCAATAACATCTTGAACGAACAGCAGAAAATGTGCGCTCTATCCCTTGATGGCCCAAGTTGTCATGACAACTGAATAACACTTTTTCACGTAATGATCTGGGAAGAATAAGTTGTTGTAAATCTCCTAATGTAGGATCTGTTACCACTCTGTAAAGAATTCCTTTCACAACTACAATTTTATCCCACTGTCTTACTAATGTAATCACAGATCTTGGTAATTTTCTGATTTCTGTTTTCGTTGGTTTAGATCCTTTATTGAAAATCTTCAGAAATGTTGCTAAGTTTGAATCAGCTGACTGAAGAGACTGTATTTCATCTGGTTTCAGAGATGGAAAAGTGTCGTAAACTTCATTCACAATTACACTTGAGGTACTTTGTTTCTGTAGATCCGAGGGTAGTTTCGTAGAATCGGAGAACTTCTCTAGTAGAATCTCTAAATCACTTTGCCGCGATGAATCATCAGGATCACTGATACGTGAAAGAGCATCTGCGTTTTCGTTATGGCGGCCTGGTCGGAATTTCACATCAAAGTTAAACATAGCCAACTTTGAAATCCAGCGTTGTTCAATTGCACTGAGTTTTGATGTGTTAAGATGACACAACGGGTTGTTATCAGTGAACACTGTGAATTTTGATCCCAATAAGTAATCTTTGAATTTTTCTGTTATTGCCAAGGTTAATGATAGTAATTCCAGTTTTCGAGAACTATAATTTTGCATGTTCCTTTCACTTGGTCTCAAGGATCTGCTAGCATAGGCGATGACATGTTGTTTTCCGTCTTTGATTTCCGATAGAATGGCTCCTAATCCTAACATACTAGCGTCTGTTTCAAGAATAAACGGCTTTTGGAAATCTGCATATCCTAAGATAGGAGAACTCACAAGAAGCTTTTTCAATGTAGTAAACGCATCGTCACACTGAGAATTCCATTTATTTCCAAACGGTTTCCTTGGATAAGGTGTAAACTGCTGGGACAACTTGTGTAATGGCGATGCTATATTACTAAATCCTTTCACAAAACGTCTATAGTATCCTGCTAATCCAAGAAATGACAAAATTTTGCACAGCACTTATTTTTTCTGGGTCAGTTTTGATTTCCTCGGATGATATGACATGTCCGAGATAACGAACTTCACTTTGAAAAAAATTGCACTTTGACATTTTCAACTTTAATCCATGTTTCCGGATGATTCTAAACACTGTCTCTAATCGCTTCAAATGTTCTGGAATGTCTTCTGAATAGACGATAATATCGTCCAAAAACACAAGTAAAATGTTAAATATCTCATCCCTGACGCAGTGTTGCATTAACCTCTGAAACGTCGCAGGGGCGTTGCACAAACCAAACGGCATACGAAGATATTCATACAGACCCATTGGCGTTGTGAATGCCGTTTTTTCGATATCATCTTCATGGACAGCTACTTGGTTATAGCCACAGGTAAGATCCATTGTCGAGAAAAATTTCGCACCGCATAGAGCATCAAATGATTCTTCTACTCTGGGTAGTGGATAGGCATCTTTGTGAGTTTTGCTGTTAAGTTTACGGTAGTCCACACATAAGCGGAGCGAATTATCTTTCTTTCTGACTAACACAATCGGTGATGCGTATGGACTAGTACTCTCCCTTATAATATTGTTGTTCAACAATTTACGAATATGTGATTTCACTTCCTCATATTGTGATGGGGGTATTCGTCTGTAAGGTTGCACTATAGGCTGATCGTCTGTTGTCCGAATAGTATGTTTTATGGCTGTAGTATATCCTATGTCATCATCATTTTGAGAGAATACATCTTGATTTCGGTAGAAAAGGTTGCGAATTTCTTTCATCTGTGCAGGATCTAAATTCAACTTTTCTATTTCCGGTGGAATTTTGAAATCACTTGTCACTTCCTCTGAATTTCTGTGGTTTCACTGCATATAAATTCTTGTTGAACAAAAATCTCTTCAGTATT